GCTTATTTGGATAATTAATTAAGGCAGGACATGAGATCTAAAGCGGTGACTATTGACGACTACCTGTATTCGTCACTATTCACCACCTTTCACGACTGTTCACCACTGTTTGCACTATTCGAGACTATTCGCACCATTTGGGACAATTCGCTATTAACTATTCGTGAATATTCGCTATTCGCTATTCGGGTTTTCCAGACACCCTGACAACCAAAACATTGTTACTTTACTAAAATATGTATACAGTACCAGTCAAATATAAGTTGACAGTCTTGACTCGAAACTCGATCGTCGGTACTCGATGCTTGCGAGAATCAAGAATTATTGAGCTTCGAGTTTCGAGTATTGAGTTTCGAGATGCTTGAAGAATTTTTCGAGAAAACAATTTATATCTCGAATTCGTAACAATAGAAATAAACAATACTGTGCTTCGTGTGGCTTCCTTTATTCATGCAAGAGTACATGTATTTTATATTAACGTCCAAATTGTTAGTCTGGAGTTGAAGTTTTGAATCGCAATTATATAGCATTCATTGCATAGAAAAAAAAACAACACACGTACGAATCAGCCAAATTTAGAGAACGCAGCCTGCGAGTGCGAATTGATATTTCTAGCTCTTTCCAGTTCCAGCGAGCTCAAATTTCAACTTGCTTGCGTATAGTGTTACAGTGATTGTACGAATTAGCAAATGATTTTCTAGCAAAATATCGTATTTAAAAAAATACTTATCAAGATACTGTGCATGTAACTTGAACATAACCTGTGTTAGCGGATGGCTTTGCAGCTCTTGTTTGCATTGACAGCCCGCAGTGATTGTTTGAATTTGCATAATGTTCAAAACAACTCCTAAAGGCCACGCTTTTTCGTGATTTTCGCCGATTAGGTTTGTGTGCTACTTGATCAAACTGCGAAACTTGCTTGGCAGCATTAAATTACTCATGTCATGTCAACTTCTGTTACATTAAGGCATGTTTAACATAACAGCTTGTTTTAAACTACAAATGAAACTTCCTGTGCCTTCGTAAAAAACCTAGACGGATCCCAGACGAAACGACTGTGTTGACTCTTTTTGTTGACTTACAATTACAGGCTGGCCAATCAGAATCGTTGCTTCCCACGGCTAGTAAAATTCTAGGTTGAATGAAGCAGAAAGGTTTTCCACAGATGTCTTCACTGATGTGTGCGTCATTGTAACTTGGTGCAGACTACTTTCCCATGGAAACAATTCAGCTGCAGTTGCCTGGTAGGTTTAATTTTACTAAAAGAGATTCCTTGTTGACAGTTGACGAACAGTTGTCACATCCATTTATGGGCATATATCCCCAGTGGATGAATGCACAGTTCAAGAAAGCTCTAGCTTCTAGACTTAAAACACTTTTCAACATTTGGAAAAACATCAGGGGAATGACATCTACCCTAGCCTCCAATGTTGACCTTCTTTTGTCTTATCACACACTCCTCCCCAACAAAAGTTGGTCGTCCCGCTACATTACTTTGGTCATCTCGTAACGCAATCCTGTTAATCAAAACGTTTCATTTTCCCTTTAGAAAAAAGTTGATATTCTTTTTGTAAGGAAGCAGTTGTTGATTGTCGTTTTGCTTTATTTTCATGCAGGTTGCTGGATGCTGTGATGCTTAATATGTATCTTCCTCAAGTCAGGATCAACCAAGAAGGATATAGTTAGAGGTAGAATAGAGAACTTAACGAGATTTTGCTTCAAGATTATTTGACAAGAATGGAAGCTAGAAATTTCATTTCCATTTAAAAATTCAAATAGTTTCATAAGGCAAGCACCATCGTTATTACCATGATTTTGAATTGTCTTGGAAGCCAAAAATATAGGAGCAGTTTGTTATCAGTATCACAAAATGCAGATGGTAAGACTGATCCGTACGGTAGTGAGAAGGAGGCCCAAAGGTTTAAAGCAAGAAGATGGGCTCGTACAAAGTAGAAGCTATAATTTTGTAACGAAGGCTTACCAAGTTTCTATCAACTTGACTAAGTGTTTGTTACAAAATTATAGTTTTTACCTTGTACCAGTTCAACTTGCTTTCATCTTTTTTGTTGCTTTTTTACTGCCGTATGGATCTTTCTTCCGTTTAAAGACAGAGAATCTTTTTTACTCTGTTGAATTGTCTGGGAATTAAAAATTTTTAGAGATCTTTGTTTTCGAATCGCTTATGCAAGTAAAATGATGTGAAATCAAAACTTTGTTGATCAGTTTCTCAAATTGTTTGTGAAATCAAAACTTTGCCAGAAGTAACTTCTGTTTAAAAATTTTTATTTTTCCCGCCAAAAACCTTAGAAAAATACGGGTGCCAAAATATGCATGCGCCGTTTTTTTTTTTTTAATTTCTATAGTTGTTGTAAGTAACTTCTGTTTAAAAATTTTTATTTTTCCTGCCAAAAAACTTAGAAAAAATATGGGCACCAAAATACACATGCACAGTTTTTTTTCTAAAAAATTTCTATAGTTGCTGTAAGTAACTTCTGTTTAATAATTTTTGTTTTTCCTGCCAAAAACTTAGAAAAAAAATGGGCACCCAAAATACGCATGCGCTGTTTTTTTTAAATTTTCTTTTTTATTAAGTAATTTTAAACTTAAAGAAATAATCAACAATAAAATATATTTTCGCTTTGTGTTTGCTCTACTTGATGTTGTTTATTAGTGTAATAACTAGTCAATAAACAGTTTTCATTGTAATCTTTATTATCTCTAATAAAATATTTCAATAAACACACACAATTGTTAAGTGTGAAAGTCACTTTTATTCGCCTCAAGTATTGTCTAATTACAAGTTAATTAATTAATGGAAATCAATTAAATTATTAAATAGGTGTCACTAAAAAATGTGCCCTATAGATACTAAGGCTTTTGGCGAAAAATTTGGAAGAATTTGCACAGTGTTTCCCCTGACAACTTTCTGGACAAAAAATTCAAAATGGCTTCCCTTGTAATTTCCCGCCAAAATTTTTTTGAACATCACGTCGTGAAAAAAACTTGAAAGTAAAAACGCCAATTCATTTCTTGCGCATAAAAAAATCCGAAAAAGATATTTTAACGTAGTTGCTTGTGTAAATCAAGTTTTGAACTGAGCAAATCTCTTCCCGAATACTTAAGTTTTTCAAACTCTTTTGCACGAGATGACGTCTCGGATAAAAACCTTTTTTCAACCGATTCACGTTTTTAACACAGGACAAATTGAATGAAAAAACTTTGATTTACCCATCCTGGAATTCAATTTGTTTTTTTTTCCTGAGCCCAGACTGTTGAGTTAGATCACATGGATTTACTAGCCACATGTATTTAGGATATTGACAACTTCTTCCCCTAGACTCACAAAGCTCTTGTAGCCAGTAGAAATCGTGATGTCTTAAAATGTTTCAATTCAGGTGAAATCACTTCT